GTGTGTGTAGCTATAAACTAAAGCTTAAACCAGAAAGCCAACAAAGCAAGTTGTTGGCGTTTTAGATATACTGTATACCTAATTAATACAAAAAATCTGTTCTGCGGAGTCTTGAAATTCCGCAACCGCTTGTATTATTTTTGAACTAGGTATTGTTCTAGATTTATCTTCTTTGGTTAATTGATTTTCAACACATTGCATCACTGTTGTGTTGGCTTCCTCATAATCACGGTTTTTTCCATTATGAACGTGTAAAACTGTTTTAAATTCTGTGTTACCTATATTGGATATAATACAAGCCATCATTAACCCTAAGGCTAGTAATGTAGGTACCATTGCTGCATGAAGGTTTGTATATAATGCTGGGCTAAATATTTGAGAATAGCTTAACTCAGAAGACATAGCATGCATTAAGAGAAGAGTAATATTTCCAAAAACTAAAGCTGTAAATAAGACTGGAACAGCCATTCTGCGATTACTGACAGCACATAGCCAATCAGATATAAAATGTCCTTTGACTATTTTTCCTCCTGATATAGAAAAGCTTTTATCGGTTTCACTCTCAAGTGTTTGTAATTGGAAGTAAGAGCGGGTACCATTGCTTCTATCTATCATTATGTATTTTATCAGCTTATCATTTGGTAATTTTTCTAATACTTCTGCTAAAACTTTACTATGATCTCTCTCTGTGATTTTATGTTCCTTTGTGCGAAAACTTTGAATGAGTGCCCAACATCCAAAGAGTGCAAGAGATGCCAATACTACACCACCGAGTATATTAAAAGCATTTATTCCATTGTGCATATTGACCAATTCAATAAGTGGTTTAGTGGTAGATGCAACACTTAACATAGTTACTAAGGCTGTAAATGGCATGATAATCTTCTTTTTTGCCATAAGATACTTCACTTTCTGCCAAAACCTGTTTGTTTTTTCATCTGACCCTATTAATAGATCAGAGGAACTATCATTATCATTTTTAGCAAGGTCGTTACTTGAAGTACCGTCACCAAGGTCATCATAAGCAGGTGGCGTCGTGCTATTAGATCTTTGCCCATTGCTGCTATCGGAATTAACCTCTTCAAAAGAGCTATTTTCATTTGAGCTACTTGTACTATTTGATCTACTTGCATTAGGTGATGCACTATTATTACCCTCTCTCTTTTGTGCAGATGGAGCGGAAGTTCTTTTGGCAGGTATAGGAGGAGAATCTGATGAATTGCCGCCATTGGAATCAGTTGTGTCAAGAATTATTGGGAGGCCTGAAGAAGAAAGTAAAGGTTGATCATTGCTGTTATCATCAATTACATGAAAAGCCTGACTTGTATCAGGTGACACTCCCCTCTTAGTCTCTGTGTTTTGTAGTGTTTTTCCGTTATTAGTCCCTGTATCGTGTGCGCTTTGCATATCTACCTCCAAAGTTAATGATAATGCTGTGTTAATTACGTTATAATTATTAAGATCAAGTAAATACTAATTTACAAATAACTGAATTTTTGGGTGCATGGTCTAAAGTGTTGAAAGTTATAAATAGTGCATTTTTTCTGATGAAAATAACAACATCTAATGTTTTAATTTCACTTTATAAGTTTTTTANTAAGTTTTACTAATTCATCGCTTTTTATGATGATTTCAGTAATACTAGCAGCAATGTTTTTATTGATTGGCATAAGAAAGAAGT